GTCATTTAAATATTGCTGTAAAAAACTGCTGCTAAAGAGCGAATACATAAGGGATAATGCACGGCTTGCTGTACATTGAACGATTTTAATGCACGACGTGAAGGCAAGAACCACCTGACGCGAAGCTACAGCTCGTTAGCTCCGCATTCTTCCCCCTTCAGATCAGAAAGAGATGAAATAGTGTGGCAAGATCACATTAATTATAACATTTAGCTACTTGAATGAATTTATTCGAGATTCGAGAGAGAGAGAGAGGTGACAGTTGCCTGTGTGAATTAGCCTACCTGCGTCTGTGCATCTCTCCAGTAGACTATTTAATTTATTTTATTAAAAAAAGTCACGGGGCAGCATTCTCAAGAAGTTTGTGTCCTCCTGAATGTTTGTGCACATGCGCAGCGCGATCTCCGATCTCACAAACCAAAATAATAGACATGATTTTCTCAGGCCACATGTAAAATCATATGAATTATTATAAAGATTATTAAAATGAATACATATGGATGACAGTTGATTACAATAATATTTCAGTTTATTTCCATCATTAGGAACAAATAAAGTTAATATTAATCGTGTATAAATAATAGGCTACTTCATTAACTTTGTTATTTACTATCCCTGTTGTAGTATTATTCATAAGTAAAAACCAACAAGATTTTTTTTTTCACCATGTTTCCAAATTCTCTACCCCAGGTCCAAAAGAAATGTAAAGATTGTACAAACTGAAAACATTAAATACTTTTGTGATCTATTTCCATTTGTTATTTTCAAAAGAGAAATACTGTCATGGATGTTTACAGAGCAGAGGTCACCTTTTTTTAATTCCAATGGGAGAGATGGACTTTTGTTTGTCTTTTGTTTATTATTATTTTGTGCTGTATTGTTGGTTACTGTGTTATTTCTGTTTCAAAAGCCAGCAATAAATAACACTTTAATATCTAAAGAGTGTTCATGTGATTTTATACATTAGTAATGTTGGGAAATGAATAAATGCACAATAATCGTCATAATCGTAAAACCGTGATTATTCCTCAGACAATAATCGTACCAACAAAATCTATAATCGTTGCATCCCTAGCTTCATGTGTGTTCTTGTTCATGTGTGTCTTCTGTGCACGTAGAGAACAGCGCGCGAGTAACAAAACGAGTTCCCTTTCACCTTTTCTTTCTGGAATTGTTTAAAATTCGCTTGCTTGTGTAAATACGAACAAATTATAAACTTATACTCTATTATGGTTACATTTTGCAATTAATCCACGGATCACATGCGTCCCGAACTGTGGGGCTCGGTCCGTATGGATCACGGATCAACTTCGATCCGTTTAACCACTAATTTTTAACTCTTGCCAAATCTGAAAACAAGGTTTTTAGCTTGTCAGTTGAATCAGCATATCAGGAAATGACGCAGGACAACTTAGTTCACAACTCAACCAATTAATTCCAAGTTTAGAATTGAATATTTAATTAAATTAAGGGTGTGATATCACGATTTTTGATCGTGGACGATTAAACTGTCTCCACAATCTGCTTTTGAAGAAATATTGTGCTACAGCGCACATTGTATCAGTTGCAGATCTGACACCTCTGTCTCAATATACTGTACATAACATAAATAACATAACATAAATTCACATTAAATGTTAACTCAGCTGTAGAGTTACACTCACAGGACATTGCACTTCACAATCACAAAAGTACATTATTTGAATGTATTATTTGAAAGCCTTGCCGGTTAAACATTTCATTCGCATACTTTTCGGACATGTGCTTTTTCTGAGTGCACATGCACACTAAAAAGCTCGTCAAACAGCGCCTGGTTACTGGCCTGTGTTACTTTTCATGCTTAATTGCACTAATACTGTCAAAAACACACAAAGTTTACATATAAACACGGTTGCTTATGTCTAAAATGAAAGTAAACAGTTGAGAGAAAAACGGATGAGTGCCTGTATATTAGATGCATGCAGGTCTTATAGTGACAGCAGTCTAATAGTACTAAACATGCTGCCTCTTTGGGGTGGGCGATATGACCAAAATCTTATTTCAATGGTATGAGAATTTTTATTTCACGATAACGATATGTACCTCGATATAGCTATTTTTTTGTTATTAAAATTAAGAAAAAGAAGCAAATTACAAGCACAACAGAACAAATAAATATGAAAAACTTTTAATTTATTCAGCTACAGTAGGCTAGGTTTATTTAACATGTAGTAAGAAATATTACAGAAATTGAATAAAGTGTATAAATAAAACACTGCATAGTCTTCACTGTATCAATCAAACATGATTAACATTAATAATGACAGACAGCAGCAGGTAAATAAGGCTGCGGTCTCTTTATGATCTACTGCACTGATACAATATACTGAAACATCCGGTTTTCACCCAACTGTTTTACAATTATTTAAAATATAACCAACTGTGTTTACTTGAATACTCCACACGACGGGCATTATGACATAACTGTGTGCGTATTTGACAATTCAAGCACAATAAAACACGAAAGAAATCCGTTTTTGCGATCGCATGCTGTCGAGAGAGGGGCATTCAGTGTGCGCGCTTCGGCTGTGTGTCAGTCAGCGCGAGCACCGCATTGAGTTCTTTTTCACTACTTATTGCACTTAATAACTCTGCCAAGTGCGTCCCACTCTTTGCATTCATGCGTTCATTACATTTCTCATTCATGCATGTTTCCTTATCACTCAAAAGGTGTACGCAGATATATTTGCATACCGTGGAATACACAATATAGCAAAATCTCTAACAACAGACACTTTATTTCACGATAACGATATATACCGTCATATCGCCCAGCCCTACTGCTGCTTGTCATTAAAGGGATAGTTCACCCAAAAATTTAAATTCTGTTTTTATTTACTCACTCTCATGTTGTCCCAAACCTGTATTAATTTCTTTCTTGTGCTGAACACAAAAGATATTTTGAAGAATGTGGGTAACCAAACAGTTGCTGGTCCCCATTGACTTTTATAGTAGGGGAAACAAATACATGTATAAATAAATAAGTACTATGGAAGTCACTGGGGACTAGCTTTTGTTTGGTTACCAACATTCTTCAAAATAACTTTTTTGTTCAAGAGAAGAAAGAAACTCGTTCAGGTTTAAAACAACTTGAGATTGAGTAAATACGAATTTTCATTTTTAGGTGAACTATCCCTTTATTGTTAATAAAACAACAAAACACAAAGAAAAATCACTCACTGCTCTTTATTAAATAACTTTAATACAATTACTTTAATAAGAATAAATGTATAATGTATACAGTGTATATAGTGTTTTATTTTTATATTTGTTCATTCAATTTCTTGAATGCTACTGCTAAATACACCAACTGTACCTGAAAAACAAAGCACTGTTTGTTTTATTTGTAATATGTATCTTTGTTTTTTTTAAATAACAAAGATAAAAGAATGACAAAGATTTTTATTTTTGCCCACTTTGGCATAAATATGTGCCATTCTTTTTTATTTTATATTTTGTTACCTTGTAAGGCTTTGTTTTTAAAATAGGGAAATTAGTTTGGCTGTACTGCTCAGTCAACTTGCAAAATAGTAAAACCAACATGACAAAGAATGGTGATTAAAAATGTGAATTGTGATTCTCTTGAAAAAATCGTGGTATGATATTTTTGCCACCCCTAAATTAAATTGAATATATTTCTGCTAAAAGTGATTCATTTTCAGCTCTGTTTGCACAGTCAACATAAAATCAAAATGGACCTCTATTACATTCTCAGTAGGGGTGTGTGATATTGATAAAAAATTATATCTCGATATTTTATGGGATTTTATCGATAACGATAATTAGACGATATTTTGCTGAGTGTGTTATTGTGCTGGTACCTTAAGGACTGCCGAAGACAGCTGACTCCTAATGTTTTTAATATTCTTCATATTCTGTGTGGTGGTCAGTTCAAACTGAAATTAATCTTTTCCAATAAGTTTAAACTGATTTTTGCATTTTATGGGCATTTTTACCTTTATAAAGCCATTTTTTCTAAAAGTGTCCATTATCTTTTGAGTCAAATTCTTACATTTAATCAGGGAATTAGAATAATAAGACATTTGGGCTGTTACCAAGCAAATTAAATCAACACAGAGGCTGCATCTGAAGGGGCATCTAGATGTATTTACACACATGTATTTTGTTTAATGCAAGACATGAATGCATTTAACCTGCAATTACAAATGCATAAATAATGTTTTGATATATTAAACATAAAACGTTTAATACTGATATTTGAAATGATTTAAAACATGAAAAAAAATCAAAAAAAATAAAAAAGAAAGAAAAAGCCGAAATTTGAAATGAAAACCGCCAGCAGGTGGTAGCAAATAATAAGTGAGTCATTGCGATTGAACCGAATCATTTAAATGGTTGATTCATTCAAGAACGAAACACCGGGTGCGTCCGAAATCACATACTGCTTAGTAGGTACTACATTTGAATTTGAACGTACTACTCGACCGTTAAAAAAGTACGTTCTATATAGTATGAATGCGAGTAGTATGAATGGAATTCGGACGTACTACATCCGCCATGTTGACGTTGTCACGTGACATGCGTCTCCACAACAGCGCCTAACTTTAAAGAGCCCTCACTACTGCGAACATCAGCAATGTTTCACGTAATTCTTACCACTTTCATCGGCGATTAGTGGCTGTATTCGGAATGATTTTTGTTGGCGAAATAGAGCAAAAACAGGCAATTTGGTGTCTAAAACGTAAGTCTCTTAATTAACTTATTGTTTATTGAATTCAATGTCACATTTGTTATCATGGTAATTTTTGGAGAAAAACGGCACTTTTCGTGTGAACTTGAATAACTATATGAAGTGGTATAAATATATAAATTTTCTGCCATCATGTCTTGAATTTGTAATCATTCTAAATGCATTTTAATAGACTGAATCATGCAGTGAAAGAAAACACACTAAATGCGCACACGCACTAGTCTAGACTTCACGTATTGTATGCGTGCGCTCTGTAGGGATGTTTTGAATGGCTTTTGCAAAATACTCGATAATGTCAAATCGCATATCGTTAAAACAACAATTACGATATTATCGCAGACGATATATATCGCACACCCCTAGTTCTCAGTACACATTCCTGGTTTTATTGTAATTGATACATAAGTGTGCATTACAACAAAAAAATAGACTTTCATCCAAATGCAACAACTTGTAGGTATGAAACGTCCACTTTTCACAAACCAATCAACTCACGATGGAGGCACTCGAGTCCCATGCAGCTGCAACGTCAAAATCCAGAAGACTAATTCGCCATGGGTTCCCTCTGTTGTTGTTTTTTGTTTTGTTTTTTTCAATTTATGAGTCAAATAAGGTCTGTGGTAAACATAACTTGGCAATACTTGGACGTTTTGCTCTAATAATAGGCCTACACTAAGTGAACAAAATATGTCTGATTAGATCAGTTATTACCTCTAATTGAGGCAGTAAACCAAATAAAACTATTCTGCCATCAGAAGAGATTCCAGGTAAACAGCTGCTCTTGCAGTAGAGCTGAACTAAAATTGCTGAATATTTTATTCAATACAGTCAACTTACCCAAAATAGCAAACACTCTCATACCAAAGGTCGGCTATGTTAAATTCATAAGCCATGTCGGATGCCAGTGGGTGTAAACAGAGGAAGTCCTCATCTAGCATAATGCTCCTGGCACATACGAGCAAGACTTGCAAAACCCTGGCAGCAAACTTGACACATGAGCACATGATGACATCCAAACAACAGCTTGTGATTAGACCAGAAGCATGAATGTCTGGTGGTCTCGCTCTCAGCTATGTTACCCATCACTCCCACTTCACTTAGATGGGGGGGAAAGTGACAGGGGAAATGGTAATCAAAGCAGTGACCTCTTGACAGGAAGTCTACACCTTCAGCATGAAGCTGCCAGCTATTCCCGACACGCCAGACCAAAGATGTGTCCATGTAAATATGTGTATGTTTGTGTCAGATCTGATGTGTCTAGTATGTAGACATTATTTGCGACACACAAATTCAATCCACACAGAAACCAATGTACTACAAGAAAGGAATATTAATACAGCAGACAGAATGTCATTATCTGATGAGTCACTTTCTCATTTCTCTTCTAAGCCAACCACGTTACAAGCATCTTGTGTGCAGATCTGCATAACACATAAAACCAAACCGTCATGCGGAGGAATACCTATAAGCGTACACGCACGTACACGCACATAGCTTGGATTTCCCCATGTGTAGAGCGAACCCATTTGTGCAGACTGATCGTACCGTTTAATCTGGGACATGAAAGGGTACAACACTGCCTTTGAAGTCTTTCATTTCCTAAATAGAGCTTTCTGAGAGACGAAGACCCACTGTGTTTATAAAAAAAAAAAAGAATACCCTTTTTCTCCCTATGCTTTTGTGATGGTGTGATGCCGGATGGTGGATCTAAAGACTTGAAAACATTAACCGCCTCCTCAAAGGCATGGCGGTGCTTGTGTCATTTGGATTTCTAACACCAGAAACAGTGGCTTAAGTTGTAGCTAAAAATAAAAAAACTTGTGCTAATACTATTGCTTGCTTTTTAACATCTGAAAGTGTTTCTCAACTAGCAAATTAAGTTTCATTAAAGTCACCATGAAATCAAAAGGGGGCCCAAATACTTTCTGAAAAAACACTCCTGGTATTATTGTAAATGATTCATCAGTGTAGAAAAACATTTGTGTTCGTAATCTTCCATCATAACGTAAGAAGTTGTTTCATGTCTGAAACACACTTCCTTTTTGGCTAACATCACCATGCCCTCTTAATTCAGTTCATAATTCATCAGTTTTCTAAAGTAGATATCCTGGTGTCTGGCCCCTATGTTTTCTAAGCACAACAGATGTGTGCACCAGATAACGACATTCTGAACCTGCTATTGACTTTGCCTGAGGTGAAACTGTCTTTTGGGCCAATGGGAATTCTCAACTGATTTACGGAAACTACTGATTATATCATAACACTATTAAAGGAACAGCATTCGATTTTTTTTCCCTTGCCATCAGCTTCCAGTTACATATTTGAAAGAAAATGTTCCAAACGTATTGTGAAACACCAGCAGAGGACATCTTACAGTTACTTATGTTCTAAAACATCTAAGTTCTAAATTGAGCACTTACACTGTAGGGACACAGTAACTGCCCTCTGATGAAATATTGCTTGCTTTGAAACAGACAATCATCCTTCACTTTTTTGCCTGGCTCTTGTTGGCAGGGCATCTCATCTGGCTTGAGGTCACAAACTCTATCACTCACAGAAAGGCCAGATCAGGTGACTATCTCAGGCATCCAAAGCACTGGGGGGTGTTGCACACACCAAACACAGGCACGACACCTACACTGGTTACTTTTGGTGTGTGTGGGTTCTAGGAATGAGAAGAACAGGAAAGAATAGATGTGCAGCATTTAACCAAAAGCACAGGTCAGAGTGTGAACAAGGACAGGATCCTGTCTCACAAACAGACAATTACAGCAATGCCAGGCATTAACAAAGTGTGATTAAAATGTTAAGTGGCCAGATTATCAAAAAAAAAACACTACAAACTAAAATCAATCCATTCAACAATGAAAACAAATTCCTATTTTTGAAATTTGCTAAGTATTAAACTATTAAAGGGATAGTTCAACCCAAAAATGAAAATTGTCATTTACTCACCCACAAGTTGTTCCAAACCTAAATGAATTTAATATAATAATAGTAATGATTATTTGTAATAAATTTAAAACCATGTTCACACAGTAAATTTAACAAACAATTACAAAGAAATGGCAAACAACATTTAATTAAATGTGAGACTGAAATGGCAATTTCTTGTAAAATGTACTCCAGCCAGCATTTTTTTATATTAATTAATATATATATATATATATATATATATATATACATATATATATATATACATATAAATCAGTAATGCATTGTGCATCCCTTACGAAAAAAAATTTTTTAAACCTGTGCAGGCACACAAAACAAGCCTTATTCTCTGCTTCCTTTTTAGTGACTGTACAACCTGCAGTTGAGCATGTGCTCGGTGAAGTCCAGTTTATATGTGTGTGTGTGTGTGTGTGTGTGTACACACTTAACAGGTTCTCAAGTCCAGGCCAGGGCTGACCTGTTTCCTCATGGCGCTTTGCCCAGGCAAGACTCATGCATATTTCACAATGCACACAATTCAAACAGTGGTCAGCACATACACACAAGGCAGGTTAGCCAGGCTCTGGGAAAATGTGGGTCAGAATCTGCCATCCACCCAGAGATTCCGCCGGCAGTCTTCGTAATCGGGTGTTATGCTGTGTAGAAAGTAGTTTAGTTGTGCTATTATTTATTTATTTTATCTTTTATTTATGTTTTTTTTTGTAGAAAAATATACATTTTAAGAAAACACATTTTTGTCTTTTTGTCTGTAATAACTGACTTTATATTTTCTTAATGCTACAGTTAATGGATATGAAATTGAAAAACAAAAAAACCTGTATCCAAGTCCGACATCAAATGACACTTTTTCAAGCAGGACGTTTGAAGTTGAATGGAATGCAGCATAATTCTCAAAGCTATCGTCAGCCCTTAAGCGTGTCAACACATTGTGAGAAATGCAAGACTTCATTACGAAGGTTGATATTATGAAAGTGTGAGTCAGTACTGTGAAGCACTGTATGTGGATTATAACAGGAAAGGAAATTAGCATTAGGAATAGCTGTGTGAGCTACTCTAAGATTTCCATTGATGCACAATCATGCACAAAAGCATCCGTTTTGGTTAGATTTAGCCAAGATCAGTGAAAACCAGCCCAGGCACCATGCTAACACAGCATCCCAAACAAACAGCTCTAGAGGAGTTACCATGGCAGCCAGGTTCCGCTTGAGAGGGGTATCGATTACTAGCAGGTGTAGGTTGTCTCATACATATCTACACGCACACATTTACTTAGATATCTAGATGAGGATATAAAATAGACGTCCGTTGTTTTTATATAAAGCTCATTATAATTACTATAGACCTTTACAACAACAAAAACATTGTTTTTATTCCAAATAAGGATGTCGCCAAATGTTCCACAAACTGAGGTTTTGGTATATTTAGTTAACTTCTGAGATGTAAACACTCAAACACTGTCTAAATTGCATCACACTAATACACTAACAGATTCAAACTTTACTGAACCATAATTTTAAAAACATTGGAAACTTACCAGCTATTTCAATTAACATGATGAATCTGTTCCAAAACCTTCAATGATGTCTTCAAATTTGGCCAAAATTACGTACAGCCTTGAGGCAGCACTTTGCTTAACTAATTCCTCCATATGCAGCTCACCATGATTTGTGAAGACAAATTGTATCTGTTCTAACCAAACTTTGCATCCCTAAAATAGAGATGAAAACCAGACTACTAGAAACTAAACTAAGGAAAATGTACTCATCCTCAAGGCCATTTAAGATGTTTGTTTCTTCATTGCAGCAGATTTGGAGAAATTAGAGTCCAAACAGCTGATTTTTATTTATATTTTTTGCCCAGAAGCGACAGTTTAAACAAAGTTAAAACACCATAATGATTGATTTATTTCTTGCAAACACAGTTTTTCACTTCACAAGACATTAAATGATGGACTGGAGTTGTTTGGATTACTGGTGGATTATTGTGATGTTTTTATCAGCTGTTTAGACTCTCATTCTGACGACATCCATTCACTGCAGAGGATCCATTGGTGAGCAAGTGTTGAAATGCTGAATTTCTCCAAATCTGATCCAATGAACAAACAAACTTATCTACATCTTGGATGGCCTGCAGGTGAACAATTCCTTTAATAGTATCCTACTGGCTATATTCCAGATTTATTTATATCAGCAATCCTCTTAATAAACAGTAAATAAAGATGCTTACTACTTCCAGCATTTGCATAAGACTACTGCAAGCCTGCGCAAACAACTCAAATAACTCTCAATCAGTGATGGCTAATAGTGCTAATATGCTCATTTCATGCTTGTCAGAATTAAAAAAGTGATTGTGGGGATGAAAGCCCTTTGCTGTCTCCAAGTACACAAAGTAATGAGGATCAATAGATGCATTGCTGGACATCAGATGTTCACATCTGCCCACTTCTAACAATGCAATTACAGCTTAGCACTGTATGACCTCTGTCCAGAACCAGATATCTACACTCAGTGACTTGCATATAAACTCTCATTGCCACAAACACATGCTTTATCATGGATAAAGATAAATATTGTCTTGACCCTTGCAATGGAGGAGTCACCAAAAATACATGCATAAAAATGTATCTGGCCTATTTAAGCCTTTTTTGCATTACAGCCAGCACAACATTTAGAAAATATTTGAAATATTAAATATTTCATCAAAAAGTATGCCTTTAATTTCATATAAAAAATGTTGAAGACAAAAACATCCTGAAAACATGCATAAGCTTATGTGTAAAGTAAATAAGGTTATCTCTATCTCCATTGTTTTGCTCTACTAGAGAACTCCATTAGGTCTGGCCCAGTCTTATTTTTTGTCAGAGTCATAAAGACAAGTTGTGTCATTTCTGAATGAATTTCCATTACTGAAACATGACATTTTCAAATGACAAATAACAACCCGATGCTATTCA